TATATGTTCCATTCTATGCATCCGAAGAAGTTGGCTGTAGCCCACGAAAGCTTATGCTCTAATAAATTTGTTAGTCTCTAAGGTGCCACAAGTACTCCTGTTCTTTTTCCAATTCTTCTGTTCCTCACCTGTCATGTTAGGTTAATCAGAAGGATGGCGGCTCAGCAGTGCTGCAGGACTGTCCCACCTGTGTTTGCAAGGCTCCCTTGGAAAAGGCCGCCCACCCACAATCCTTCACCATCAGCCCAGAACCATCAACCAACACCTGAGCAACCCTCGATGAACATCGTCTTCATAGACCAGAGAACACTGTGCCTGGAAGCTGATCTCTGTGACACAGTTAATCAGCTTAAGAAGCAGATCATGCAGAAGACGAAGTTTGGTGACTTGGGGTCCATTGCTCTGCTGTATGAAGGCTGGGAACTGAAGGGCCTAGACAAAATGGAGCAGCAGGAAGTGAAGAACCAGGCCAACCTGGTCATGTTGTTCAGATGTGCGGGAGGAGAAGGAAGCAGGAAAAGGATGGGGAGAGGTCCCTTATCATTAGAGCAGAAGATTGTTTGCATTTGAAAGAAACTGCGTGTATTTTTCCCAGGCACTTCTAGGGCACCAATCAACATCACATCTAGGCACTGGTTGCTGTGTCCAGCTTTTCATACTACATAGGTTTGAAAAGTGTCATTTAAAAGACTGTGTCTCAATGTTTTTTTTCAAAATACAATCCTTGGGTGGAAAATGGAAATAAACTAAGAAGAATATTAGCAAACCAGCTGAGTTTCTTTTCTCCTGTGTCTTCTGTTCACCTTTTTGTTTTCAATTCTGGTCATGCTCCCCTCAGAGGAGGTTTTCAGACTTTTATGTTGAAAGAGGGGCAGCATGAACTCCTGGTCTGTGCACAGCATATGCAATCAGGACCCCTGAGTTCTAATCTCAAGCTTGACACTAATCCCCTGCTGTGACCTTGGGCATGTCGCTGTGCTGCCCTGTGCCTCAGTTTTCCCATCTGTATAATGGGGATAATGATACTTATTTCTCTCACCAGAGATGTAGTGAAGCTCAATGAATGTGTACCAAGAACTCTGAGCAGCTTGGAGGGATGAGGATGTGGAGGAGGGAAAGAGAATAAATGTAGACAAGGGAGGGAAATACATGACTGGAAAGGAAACTGTGGGACATCAAGTGCAGCCCCTTGCTATCGCAGGCAACCCCATCAAACATGCTGCCTCCTCACCAGGCGATCAACCCCCAGTTTCTTGCATGGCAGGCAGAGATCTGCACCACTACATGAAAGAGGAACACAGAGAAATAGAGGGGAAAAGAAGATTATGTGGAGAGGGAAGCTTCAATTGCCATCACAATATCAAAACAAGAACTGGGAGGAGGGCAGGAAGCTGGGGTTGCATTTGAAGATGGGGGTAGGAGCTTTGCTGACATTTCCCTTTCACCCTGAGCTTTGCACTTGTGACCCGGCCCTCAGCAGCAGCAGGGAGCTCCCCAGATGCAGCCTCTCTGCTCTCATGGTTCACACCCTGCCCCTTCCCACACTGATCCTATAAAGCCCCAGTCCCATAGCTTCCTCTTTCTTGTATGAGAAGTGGCTGCTGGGCAGGGTTTTGCTAGCAGCTCCTGAAACCATGGGGCTGGGCTGTAGGTATTTTGTGAGCTTAGTGCTGCTCTGGTCCCTGGGGACAGCCCTTGGGCAGGGGGACTTCCTTGGGATCAGTTTCTCTGTCTTGCAGCGTGGGTATGAGTATGACTGTGGAGACTATGGGATGCAGCTGTTGGTCTTTCCCAGCCCAGGCCGCACTGTCCGCTTCAAAGTTGTGGGTAAGTGGCTGCCTGTTGGGGTCCTATGCCTTTCCATCTGCTAATAGTGTTAACTGGGAACTTCTGACTTAATTACTTCTGTTGGGCAGGCTGGAGAAGGGATGTGATCTCTTAACCTTCAGTTGTGAGGTGACCTCCTTCCTTTTGCCATGATCTCAGCTGGCCTGCCTGTTAACCTTTGGATCGTGAACTCCTGGGCTAGTCTGACTGAAGGGGTAATTTCCTGCATGTCCTTGGGAGCCCTTGTTGTTGAATTAAATATAAGTATCCATTGTCCTAATGACTGGTCTAGAGCTAACTTGTGCTCCCCTCTATGGGGGAGTGGTGACTGCAGCTCCTCCAGGAACTAAAAACAGTGAATGGCCATTAGGCAATCTGGCTGTTTTGCCTTAACTCCCGGAGAGGTACCACCTCCTGGAGAGGCTCCCATACACTAGTCCAAACTGGGCTCTCTGAGAACCAACAGACCAAGAAAGGACTCCTGGAAAATGAGCCTGAGCCTGAGCTTAAACTGATGCAGCAAAGGGACAGAACTGTCTCACCAAGGGTTGGGGGGGCAATGCTTGGGGGAAAGGTTGGAAGGAGTAACACCTACCAGAGCTTGAGTTGGCCATTGTGGTGCCCTCTGGTCAGCTTCTTAGCATGCATATAGAATCTTCTTTTTTAACATCTCCTCTGTTTTAAGAATAAATGTGCTTGCTTAGAAGATGCTGAGTGGTAACTTACAGCAGCTGGCAATACACTGGTCATACCTAGGTTCCTACCAAATTCATAGTCACAGGATTTAAACTGTAAATTTCATGATTTCAGCTATTTAACTCTGAAATTGTAGGGGTCCTGACCCAAAAACGAGGCAGGGGGGAATTGCAGTACTGCTACTCTTACTTCTGTGCTGCTGGTGGGGTGCTGGGCACCTCAAAGAGGATGGATCTAGACTGTTCTCAGTGGTACCAGATGACAGAACAAGGAGTAATGGTCTCAAGTTGCAGTGGGGAAGGTTTACGTTGGATATTAGGAAAAACTTTCACTAGGAGGGTGGTAAAGCACTGGAATGGGTTCCCTAGGGCGGTGGTGGAATCTCCTTCCTTTAAGGCCAGGCTTGACAAAGCACTGGCTGGGATGATTTAGTTAGGGATTGGTCCTGCTTGAGGGCCCTCCCAACCCTGATATTCTATTATAACAGCTGTTGCTTTCTGGCTGCCCAGCTCTAAAGGCAGTGCAGAACTAAGGGTGGCAATACCATGACTCCCTCTAAAATAACCTTGTGACCCCCTGCAACTTCCTTTTGGGTCAGGACCTCCAATTTGAGACATGCTAGTATCCCCCATGAAATCTACATAGTATAGGGTAAAAGCACACAAGACCAGATTTCATAGTTGGTGACTCACTTTTCATGGCTGTGGATTTGGTAGGGCCCTACCTATTGGAGAGAAAGCAAAGTGCAGGTGCTGGCCATTTAGGCAGTCCGGCTTGCTGGGGATACTGCAGTGTAGGCAGGGAACACAGTGGTCAGGAGGTAAAGAGGTGCAGGCAGGCATCTGCCCAAGAGAGGTGATGGCCAAGGAACTGAGGGCCTAGAGTAGATGTCCTCAAGGGACCACAAGGAGGGAATACAGGTCCAGTTACTCTGAACTGACACTATCCTTTATGCCTCACAGCACATCCTGTGAGTCACTGCTCCTAGCAGGGCCGGCCTTAGCAAGAGCGGGGCTCAATTCCTGGGGGCGGGGCTTGCTGGCGGCAAGCCCCGCCCCCAGGAATCGGGCCCCGCTTTGGGGCCGGGGGTCGCTGGGGCCAGGGCCAGGCCGGAGTCGCCGGGGCCGGGCTGGCGCGCCGGGGCCCGAGG